CAACCTGGGGCTGGAGAATGGAGCGAAAAACACAGACCTTTAAAACGGTCAGATTACATTTGTGGCTTTCTAAACATTGAGGAAATAAAAACAATGGGAAATCTTCAGAGAACCATGAGATAGATATCAGAAAAGACAGTTTGGTATTGTGAATGAATATCCACTGAATCTATTTCTGGGCCAACCTGTTTTGGGGACATTAAACTTACCTACATTTCAAAGGTGAACAATGCCACTAAATTGAGACAAGGTAAGTTTGGGCTTAAAAAAAAATAGAAGAATATTTCCTACAAGTTAACGATCAGCAAGACCTAATGGAATGGGTAAATGTTTTGAACAATGAGCAGTCAGACTTAAAGCTTCATTTTAAGAACCTCAGACTCCAAGTTGAATATCCATGTGGGAAGAAGCAATACATTATAAAACAGATATTGTTGGTGCTATCCCCACAGTTACTCCAGCTCTGGAAAAAGAAGTAAACACAGTGAAATGATTTCAAATGGTTCCCAGCCATCTCCCTTGCTTTACTCTTAAACCACCCCCAGATAATGAAATTTTCAAAGTCAGTTATTGTGTTGAACAAGGGGTAGTGATGAAAAATTGTAACCAAAGGAATTTTCAAATGGATGAAACAAAATAGGCTTTTTCAAATGTGAACTGGAAAGGAATTGCTCCACACAGAACAATTTAATGACTTTTGTAAGGTTCAGGAATGTAAGCAAAGACACACGACGAGGGACAATGGCTTCAAAATTGTAGCAGTGCCTCAGAGTTCCTGTTTGTAGGCTGACAGTCCTAAGGAGACGCACAGTTAGATGAATGCAATCTTCAGTGTCACCGTATCCCAATAGGGACCAGGAAGTTCAGTATCATCTCTGCAGCAGGTCAAGAAGCTGTCAAGTCCTTATATACAGAGAGAATCAAGTACCACACTGAATTACGCACCTTGTGAATAATGTTCAACTATCTGACAGCCACTTTTCTTTACAAGAGCACTCTTAACTGATTCTTAGCATCCAGCCATATGTTCAGTCCCTCTGTGCAACTGCAGCCAACCTCAATTCCATTCTCCCTCACAACAACTCTTTGGTCTCAAGCTTTATCATGTGGAGAGAGAATCTTATGAATCTCTTGACAAAGGTCAAGCCATGGATCTTCCACATTATGCCTTCAAGAGACCTACCTTCCAAAATGACTATTCAAGAGACCCAGAAGGTGTTACCTTAGTAGTAGGGCTAAGGTAGCCCAGAACAGAGGCTACTCCAGACCTGTCCTTAAAGCTAAAAGCAGCCATGAAAGGATCAAACCAATCTGATCTTCCAGGAATTTAACTGCCTTCCAACACTAACAATTTTTTAAAGGAGGGTAGCAAAGTTTAGACACTTAGTGACCTAGCAACTCAGTGTTCAGCATCCAATAAAAAATTACCAGACATACCAAGAATCAGGACAATATGACCCAAAACCAGAAGAAAAAGATCAATAGAAAAAGACCCACCAAGGGCAGAGATGATAGAACAAGTATATGAAGACTTTGAAATAGCTCTTACAAACATGCTCAATATGTTTAAGGATCTTTAAATGATGTGAATATAATCAGGGAAGATAGTGAAGACATAAAAAGGAACCAAATGGGAAGTCTAGAGATGAAAATTAAGATATCTGAAGTGAAAAAATATACTGGATGGGACTAAGCTGTAGCTTAGACATGGAAAAAGAAAAGTGAACTTGAAGATGTAATAATACAAACTATTCAATCTGAAACATAGAAAAGATAAATTAGGCCTCAGTGACCTTGGGATGATATCAAGGTATTCATTACAGGATTAACTGGAGTCCCAGGAAAGTGTGTGTTGCAGGAGGGGAGGAGACAGAGGCAGAATAATAGTTGAAGAAACAATGGCTGAAAAAAATCCAAATTTAATAAAAACTATGAAACCACAGATCTAAGAATCTTAAAAGGAAGTCCAAGCAGGATAATCACACAGAATCACAACAAAGCACATCACAATGAAATTGCTGAAAAACAATGATAAAGAGAAAAATCTTAGGACCAGCCAGAGAAAAAAGGCACATGGTGTACAGAGGAACAAATAAAAGAATAAGTGATTTCTTTTCAGAAATAACACAAGTCAGGAGACATCTTTAAATTGCAGAATGAAAAAAATATTGTCAACATAAAATTCTATATCCAGCAAAAATCTCCTTTAAAAATTTCACCTGAAGGTAAAATAGATTTATTAAGACAAAAGCTGAGCGACTTTGCCATTTAACATCACCATAAGTAATGTTCAAGGAAAATTTTTAGAGAGAGGAAAAATAAAACCAGAGGGAAACTTGGATCTACACAAAGGAATGAAGAGTACGTATGTGGGTAAACATGAAAGTATTTTTTCATTTTAAAATTTCTTCTAAGAGTAATTAACTACATAAAGCAAAAATAATGAACATGTTGAGTTCCTAATTTATGCAGAAATAAAATGACAACAATAGAACAAAGGATGGAAGGGGAAAATGGAAGTTTACTTTTGTAAAGTTATACATAACTTTCAAATGTTATTCTTTAAAGTAGATGTGGAAGTTGAGGATATATTATAAACATTAGCACAACCACTAAAAATGAAGATGAGGAGGTATAGCTAAGAAACCAATAGCAGGGAGTAAGGGGGAGAGTGAACAGAAAACAGATGGGATAAACAGAGAACAAACATCAAGATGGCAGATTTAATCCCAACCATTACATGTAAATGGTTATAAACCCTCCAAATAAAAAGAATAAATTAGATCCAGCTGACTGGAGGGAATTCATGATGTATTGTGAAGTGAAAACAGCAACACGCAGAGTTTGTTGCTCTTAGCATTTGTTTATCTATGGGTAGTAGGAGGGAGAGGTGAGGGAAAAATGAAAGGAGACTGGCAAAATGGAAACATATGCATGATAAAATAACAAAAGGTGTTAAATATAATCCTTGACAACACTGATAATAAAATTGAGTTCTGAACATAGACTAGGACTAGCAGATGACATGAACACGTGAAAACACTGAATTAAGATGGGATTGTGGTTAATTTTATTCTTAGAGTCTGAAACTTCAGTGCAGCTTTTACTAAAAAAATTAAAGTTAAAAAATTAACATCTGAGGTTTGAAGATACAAAAACTCATGACCCAACTTCCTTTTAATAGTGTTTTATAGTGGTTCTTCGACGCTCTAGTTTTCTGGACAGAAAGCAAAGACCTTCTGTGCAATAATTCCCCCAAGATAGTTCTGGCCCTGTAAGTGCTTCAGCATTTTATCTGGCATTAGCACACAGCACTGGCTGTTGTTAAGTA